TTGTCTATCTAAAGCTGAATTGCATTTGTTGATTTGCTTACAAATAAGGTGTAGTAGGTCATTCCTATGTTTAGTGTGAGTTTTGTTGGTTTTTAATTTTCTTTGAATCTACTATCATAATAGGAAAGTTTCGCTCTTCATATTATACTGGTAAGCACTGATAAGAACATGTTTGAGAAAAATTACTTGTGTGCACAAGCAAGTCTGTATTATTGCGTGCGTGTGCGTGTGCAAACCTCCAGGTACTTATTGATTTTGTGTGGGTGGCGCGGCCGACACTGCCAGCTGCTGCACACTACGATAATCTTCACACACGCCCGTTCATGCATGGTGCCCCCTTCCTTGCCCCCCTTCAGGCATGTTGTCGCTCCTGCCCCCTTCAGGCATGTTGTCGCTCCTGCCCCCTTCAGGCATGTTGTCGCCCCTGCCCCCTTCAGGCATGTTGTCGCTCCTGCCCCCTTCAGGCATGTTGTCGCCACTGCCCCCTTCAGGCATGTTGTCGCTCCTGCCCCCTTCAGGCATGTTGTCGCCCCTGCCACCTTCAAGCATGTTGTCGCTCCTACCCCCTTCAGGCATGTTGTCGCTCCTGCCCCCTTCAGGCATGTTGTCGCCACTGCCCCCTTCAGGCATGTTGTCGCTCCTGCCCCCTTCAGGCATGTTGTCGCCACTGCCCCCTTCAGGCATGTTGTCGCTCCTGCCCCCTTCAGGCATGTTGTCGCCCCTGCCACCTTCAAGCATGTTGTCGCTCCTGCCCCCTTCAGGCATGTTGTCGCCCCTGCCACCTTCAAGCATGTTGTCGCTCCTGCCCCCTTCAGGCATGTTGTCGCCCCTGCCACCTTCAAGCATGTTGTCGCTCCTGCCCCCTTCAGGCATGTTGTCGCCCCTGCCACCTTCAAGCATGTTGTCGCTCCTGCCCCCTTCAGGCATGTTGTCGCCCCTGCCACCTTCAAGCATGTTGTCGCTCCTGCCCCCTTCAGGCATGTTGTCGCCCCTGCCACCTTCAACCATGTTGTCGCTCCTGCCCCCTTCAGGCATGTTGTCGCCACTGCCCCCTTCAAGCATGTTGTCGCTCCTGCCCCCTTCCGGCATGTTGTCGCCACTGCCCCCTTCAGGCATGTTGTCGCTCCTGCCCCCTTCAGGCATGTTGTCGCCACTGCCCCCTTCAGGCATGTTGTCGCTCCTGCCCCCTTCAGGCATGTTGTCGCCCCTGCCCCATTCAGGCATGTTGTCGCTCCTGCACCCTTCAGGCATGTTGTCGCCCCTGCCCTCTTCAGGCATGTTGTTGCCCCTGCCCCCTTCAAGCATGTTGTCGCTCCTGCCCCCATCAGGCATGTTGTCGCTCCTGCCCCCTTCAGGCATGTTGTCGCCCCTGCCCCATTCAGGCATGTTGTCGCTCCTGCACCCTTCAGGCATGTTGTCGCCCCTGCCCCCTTCAGGCATGTTATCGCCCCTGCCCCCTTCAAGCATGTTGTCGCTCCTGCACCCTTCAAGCATGTTGTCGCTCCTGCCCCCTTCAGGCATGTTGTCGCTCCTGCCCCCTTCAGGCATGTTGTCGCCCCTGCCCCATTCAGGCATGTTGTCGCTCCTGCACCCTTCAGGCATGTTGTCGCCCCTGCCCCCTTCAGGCATGTTGTCACCCCTGCCCCCTTCAAGCATGTTGTCGCTCCTGCACCCTTCAAGCATGTTGTCGCTCCTGCCCCCTTCAGGCATGTTGTTTCCTCTGCCCCCTCAAGCATGTTGTCGCTCCTGCCCCCTTCAGGCATGTTGTTTCCCCTGCCCCCTTCAGGCATGTTGTCGCTCCTGCCACCTTCAAGCATGTTGTCGCCACTGCCCCCTTCAGGCATGTTGTCGCCATTGCCCCCTTCAAGCATGTTGTCGCTCCTGCCCCCTTCAAGCATGTTGTCGCCCCTGCCCCCTTCAAGCATGTTGTCGCTCCTGCCCTCTTCAGGCATGTTGTCGCCCCTGCCCCCTTCAAGCATGTTGTCGCTCCTGCCCCCTTCAGGCATGTTGTCGCCCCTGCCCCCTTCAGGCATGTTGTCGCTCCTGCCCCCTTCAGGCATGGTGTCGCCCCTGCCCCCTTCAGGCATGTTGTCGCCCCGGCCCCCTTCAGGCATGTTGTCGCCCCTGCCCACTTCAGGCATGTTGTCGCCCCGGCCCCCTTCAGGCATGTTGTCGCCCCTGCCCCCTTCAGGCATGTTGTCGCAAATGCCCCCTTCAGGCATGTTGTTGCCTCTGCCCCCTTCAGGCATGTTGTCTCCCCTGCCCCCTTCAGGCATGTTGTCGCAACTGCCCACTTCAGGCATGTTGTCGTCCCAGCCCCCTTCAGGCATGTTGTTGCCCCTGCCCACTTCAGACATGTTGGTGCCTCTGCACCCTTCAGGCATGTTGTCGAGCATGTCCTCTCCAGGCATGTTGTCGCCTCTGCCCTCTTCAGGCATGTTGTCTCCCCTGCCCCCTTCAGGCATGTTGTCGCCCCTGCCCCCTTTACGCATGTTGTCGCTCCTGCCCTCTTCAGGCATGTTGTTGCGCCTGCCTTCTTCAGGCATGTTGTCGCCCCTGCCCTCTTCAGGCATGTTGTCGCCTCTGCCCCCTTCAAGCATGTTGTCGTCCCAGCCGCCTTCAGGCATGTTGTCGCTCCTGCCCCCTTCAGGCATGTTGTCGCTCCTGCCCCCTTTTGGCATGTTGTCGCTCCTGGCCCCTTCAGGCATGTTGTCGCTCCTGCCCCCTTTAGGCATGTTGTCGCCCCTGCCTCCTTCAGGCATGTTGTCGCCCCTGCCCTCTTCAAGCATGTTGTCGACCCTGCCCTTCTTGAAGCATGTTGTCGCCCCTGCCCCCATCAAGCATGTTGTCGCCCCTGCCCCCATCAAGCATGTTGTGGCACCTGCCCCCTTCAGGCATGTTGTCGCTCCTGCCCCCTTTTGGCATGTTGTCGCTCCTGGCCCCTTCAGGCATGTTGTCGCTCCTGCCCCCTTTAGGCATGTTGTCGCCCCTGCCTCCTTCAGGCATGTTGTCGCCCCTGCCCTCTTCAAGCATGTTGTCGACCCTGCCCTTCTTGAAGCATGTTGTCGCCCCTGCCCCCATCAAGCATGTTGTCGCCCCTGCCCCCATCAAGCATGTTGTGGCACCTGCCCCCTTCAAGCATGTTGTAACCCCTGCCCCCTTAAAGCACGTTGTCGTTCCTGCCCCTTTAGGCATGTTGTCGCCCCTGCCCCCTTCATACATGTTGTCGACCATGCCCCCTTCAAGCATGCTGTCGCCCCTGCCCCCATCAAGCATGTTATGGCCCCTGCCCCCATCAAGCATGTTGTCGCTTCTGCCCCCATCAAGCATGTTGAAGCTCTTGCCCCTTTCAGGCATGTTGTCGCTCCTGCCCCCTTCAAGCATGTTGCCGTCCCTGCCCCCTTCAGGCAAGTTGTCGCCCCTGCCCCCATCAAGCATGTTGTCGCCACTGCCCCCATCAAGCATGTTGTCGCCCCTGCCCCCTTCAGGCATGTTGTTGCTCCTGCCCCCTTCAGGCATGTTGTCGCCCCTGCCCCCATTAAGCATGTTGTGGCCCCTGCCCCCTTCAGGCATGTTGTCGCCCCTGCCCCTATCAAGTATGTTGTGGCCCCTGCCCCCTTCAGGCATGTTGAAGCTCCTGCCCCGTTCAGGCATGTTGAAGCTCCTGCCCCCTTCAAGCATGTTGTCGCCCCTGCCCCCTTCAAGCATGTTGTCGCCCTTGCCCCCTTCAGGCATGTTGAAGCTCCTGCCCCCTTCAGGCATGTTGAAGCTCCTGCCACCTTCAAGCATGTTGTCGCCCCTGCCCCCTTCAGGCATGTTGTCGCCCTAGCCCCCTTCAGGCATGTTGTCGCCCTTGCCCTCTTCAGGCATGTTGTTACCCCTGCCCTCTTCAGGTATGTTGTCGCCCCTGCCCCCTTTAGGCATGTTGTCGCCCCTGCCCTCTTCAGGGATGTTGTCGCTCCTGCTCTCTTCAGACATGTTGTCGCCCGTGCCCACTTCAGGCATTTTGTCGCCCCTGCCCACTTCAGGCATGTTGTCGCCCGTGCCCACTTCAGGCATGTTGTCGCCCCTGCCCTCTTCAAGCATGTTGTCGCTCCTGCCCTCTTCAGACATGTAGTCGCCCGTGCCCACTTCAGGCATATTGTCGCCTGTGCCCACTTCACGCATGTTGTCGCCCCTGCCCCCTTCAGGCATGTTGTCGACCCTGCCCTCTTCAGGCATGTTGCGGCCCCTGCCCTCTTCAGGCATGTTGTCGCCTCTGCCCTCTTCAGGCATGTTGTCGCTCCTGCCTTGTTCAGGCATGTTGTTGCGCCTGCCCTCTTCAGGCATGTTGTCGCCTCTGCCCCCTTCAGGCATGTTGTCACTCCTGCCCTCTTCAGGCATGTTGTCGGTCTTGCTCTCTTCAGGCATGATGTCACTCCTGCCCCCTTCAGGCATGTTGCCGCTCCTGCCCCCTTCAGGCATGTTGTCGCCCCTGCCCCCTTCAGGCATGTTGTCGCCCCTGCCCCCTTCATGCATGTTGTCGCTATTGCCCCCTTAAGGCATGTTGTCGCCCCTGCCACCTTCAAGCATGTTGCCGCCCCTGCCCCCTTCAGGCATGTTGTCGCCCCTGCCCACTTCAGGCATGTTTTCGCCACTGCCCCCTTAATGCATGTTGTCGCCCCTGCCCCTTCAGGCATGTTGTCGCCCCTGCCCCCTTCAAGCATGTTGTCGACCCTGCCCCCTTCAAGCATGTTGTCGACCCTGCCCCCATCAAGCATGTTGTTGCCCCTGCCCCCATCAAGCATGTTGTGGCACCTGCCCCCTTCAAGCATGTTGTGGCCCTTGCCCCCTTCAAGCACGTTGTCGTTCCTGCCCCTTCAGGCATGTTGTCGCCCCTGCAACCTTCAAACATGTTGTCGACCCTGCCCCCTTCAAGCATGCTGTCCTCCCTGCCCCCATCAAGCATGTTGTGGCCCCTGCCCCCTTCAAGCACGTTGTCGTTCCTGCCCCTTCAGGCATGTTGTCGCCCCTGCCCCCTTCAAAAATGTTGTCGCCCCTGCCCCCTTCAGGCATGTTGTTGCCCCTGCCCCTATCAAGCATGTTGTCGCCCCTGCCCCCATCAAGCATGTTGAAGCTCCTGCCCTCTTCAGGCAAGATGTCACCCCTGCCCCCATCACGCATGTTGTCGCCCCTGCCCCCTTCAAGCATGTCGTCGCTACTGCCCTCTTCAGGCATGATGTTGCCCCTGCCCTCTTCAGGCATGTTGTCGCCACTGCCCGATTCAGGCATGTTTTCGCTCCTGCCATCTTCAGGGATGTTGTCGCTCCTGCTCTCTTCAGGCATGTTGTCGCTTCTGCTCTCTTCAGGCATGTTGTCGCCCCTGCCCCCTTCAGGCATGTTGTCGTCCCAGCCCCCTTCAGGCATGTTGTCGCCCCTGCCCTCTTCAGGCATGTTGATGCTCCTGCTCTCTTCAGGCATGTTGTCGCCCCTGCCCTCTTCAGGCATGTTGTCGCCCCTGCCCTCTTCAGGCATGTTGTCGCCCCTGCCCACTTCAGGCATGTTGTCGCCCCTGCCCACTTCAGGCATGTTGTCGCCCGTGCCCACTTAAGGCATGTTGTCGCCCCTGCCCTCTTCAGGCATGCTGTCGCCCGTGCCCACTTCTGGAATGTTGTCGCCCCTGCCCTCTTCAGGCATGTTGTCGACCCTGCCCTCTTCAGGCATGTTGTCGTTCCTGCCCCCTTCAGGCATGTTGTCGCTCTTGCCCCCTTCAAGCAAGTTGTCGCCCCGGCCCCCTTCAAGCATGTTGTGGACCATAACCCCTTCAAGCATGTTGTCGCCTTTGCCCCCATCAAGCATGTCGAAGCTCCTGCCTCCTTCAGGCATGTTGTCGCCCCTGCTCGCTTCAGGCATGTTGTCGTTCCTGCCCCCTTAAGGCATGTTGTCGCCACTGCCCCCTTAAGGCATGTTGTCGCCCCTGCCCCCTTCAGGCATGTTGTCGACCCTGCCCTCTTCAGGCATGTTGTCGCCACTGCCCCCTTCAGGCATGTTGTCGCCCCTGCCCTCTTCAGGCATATTGTCGCTCCTGCGCTCTTCAGGCAAGTTGTCGCCCCTGCCCCTTCAGGCATGTTGCCGCCCCTGCCGTCTTCAGGAATGTTGTCGCTCCTGCTCTCTTCAGGCATGTGTTCGCTCCTGCCCTCTTCAGGCATGTTGTCGCTCCTGCTCTCTTCAGGCATGTTGTCGCCCCTGCCCCCTGCAGGCATGTTGTCGTCCCAGCCCCCTTCAGGCATGTTGTCGCTCCTGCCCTCTTCAGACATGTTGTCGTCCCTGCCCCCTTCAGGCATGTTGTCGTCCCAGCCCCAATTCAGGCATGTTGTCGCCCCTGCGCTCTTCAGGCATGTTGTCGTCCCAGCCCCCTTCAGGCATGTTGTCGCCCCTGCTCTCTTCAGGCATGTTGTCGTCCCTGCCCCCTTAAGGCATGTTGTCGTCCCAGCTCCCTTCAGGCATGTTGTCGCTCCTGCTCTCTTCAGGCATGTTGTCGCTCCTGCCCCTTTCAGGCATGTTGTCGCCCCTGCTCTCTTCAGGCATGTTGTCGTCCCAGCCCCCTTCAGGCATGTTGTCGCTCCTGCCCTCTTCAGACATGTTGTCGTCCCTGCCCCCTTCAGGCATGTTGTCGTCCCAGCCCCCTTCAGGCATGTTGTCGTCCCAGTCCCTTTCAGGCATGTTGTCGTCCCAGCCCCCTTCAGGCATGTTGTCGTCCCAGCCCCCTTCAGGCATGTTGTCGCTCCTGCTCTCTTCAGGCATGTTGTCGCTCCTGCCCCCTTCAGGCATGTTGTCGCCCCTGCTCTCTTCAGACATGTTGTCGTCCCTGCCCACTTCAGGCATGTTGTCGTCCCTGCCCCCTTCAGTCATGTTGTCGTCCCAGCCCCCTTCAGGCATGTTGTCGTCCCAGACCCCCTTCAGGCATGTTGTCGCTCCTGCCCTCTTCAGACATGTGTTCATCCCTGCCCCCTTCAGGCATGTTGTCGTCCCAGCCCCCTTCAGGCATGTTGTCGTCCCAGCCCCCTTCAGGCATGTTGTCGTCCCAGCCCCCTTCAGGCATGTTGTCGCTCCTGCTCTCTTCAGGCATGTTGTCGCTCCTGCTCTCTTCAGGCATGTTGTCGCTCCTGCTCTCTTCAGGCATGTTGTCGCTCCTGCTCTCTTCAGGCATGTTGTCGCTCCTGCTCTCTTCAGGCATGTTGTCGCTCCTGCTCTCTTCAAGCATGTTGTCGTCCCAGCCCCCTTCAGGAATGTTGTCGCTCCTGCCCTCTTCAGACATGTTGTCGTCCCAGCCCCCTTCAGGCATGTTGTCGTCCCAGCCCCCTTCAGGCATGTTGTCGCCACTGCTCTCTTCAGGCATGTTGTCGCCCCTGCGCTCTTCAGGCATGTTGTCACCCGTGCCCACTTCAGGCATGTTGTCGCCTGTACCCACTTTAGGCATGTTGTCGCCCCTGACCCCTTCAGGCATGTTGTCGGCCCTGCCCTCTTCAGGCATGTTGTCGTTCCTGCCCCTTTCAGGCATGTAGTCGCTCCGGCCCCCTTCAGGCATGTTGTCGCTCCTGCCCCCTTCAGGCATGTTGTCGCTCCTGCCCCCTTCAGGCATGTTGTCGCTTCTGCCTCCTTCAGGTATGTTGTCGCCCCTGCCCCCTTCAAGCATGTTGTCGTCCCAGCCCCCTTCAACCATGTTGTCGCTCCTGCCCCCTTCAGGCATGTTGTCGTTCCTGCCCCCTTCAGGCATGTTGTCGCTCCTGCCCCCTTAAGGCATGTTGTCGACCTTGCCCCTTCAGGCATATTGTCGTTCCTGCCCCCTTCAGTCATGTGGTCAACCTGCCCTCTTTAGGCATGTTGTCGCTCTTGCGCTCTTCACGCACGTTGTCGCCCGCGCCTACTTCAGGAATGTTGTCGCTCCTGCCCCCTTCAGGACATGTTGTCGCCCCTGCCCTCTTCAGGCATGTTGTCTCCACTGCTCTCTTCAGGCATGTTGTCGCTCCTGCTCTATTCAGGCATGTTGTCGCCCCTGTCCCCTTTCAGGCAAGTTGTCGTCCCAGCCCCCTTCAGGCATGTTGTCGCCCCTGCCCTCTTCAGGCATGTTGTCGCTCCTGCTCTCTTCAGGCATGTTGTCGCCCGTGCCCCCTTCAGGCATGTTGTCGCCCGTGGCCACTTCAGGCATGTTGTCGCCCCTGCCCACTTCAGGCATGTTGTCGTCTCAGCCCCCTTCAAGCATGCTGTCGCCCCTGCTCTCTTCAGGCATGTAGTCGCTCCTGCCCTCTTCAGGCATGTTGTCGCTCCTGCGCTCTTCAGGCATGTTGTCGCCCGTGCCCACTTCAGGCATGTTGTCGACCCTGCCCCCTTCAAGCATGCTGTCGCCCCTGCCCCCATCAAGCATGTTGTCGCCCCTGCCCCCATCAAGCATGTTGTGGCCCCTGCCCTCATCAAGCATGTTGTGGCCCCTGCCGCTTTCATGCATGTTGTCGTTCCTGCCCCGTTTAGGCATGTTGTCGCCCCTGCCCCCTCCAGGCATGTTGTTGCTCCTGCCCCCTTCAGGCATGTTGTCGCCCCTGCCCCCTTCAGGCATGTTGTCGCTCCTGCCCCCTTCAGGTATGTTGTTGCTCCTGCCCCCTTCAGGCATGTTGTAGCCCCTGCCCCCTCCAGGCATGTTGTCGCTCCTGCCCCCTTCAGGTATATTGTTGCTCCTGCCCCCTTCAGGCATGTTGTCGCCCCTGCCCCCTTCAGGCATGTTGTCGCTCCTGCCCCTTTCAGGTATGTTGTTGCTCCTGCCCACTTCAGGCATGTTGTCGCCCGTGCCCACTTAAGGCATGTTGTCGCCCCTGCCCCCTTCAGGCAAGTTGTCGCCCCTGCCCCCTTCAATCATGTTGTCGACCCTGCCCCCTTCAAGCATGCTGTCGCCCCTGCCCCCATCAAGCATGTTGTCGCCCCTGCCCCCATCAAGCATGTTGTGGCCCCTGCCATCATCAAGCATGTTGTGGCCCTTGCCCCTTTCATGCAAGTTGTCGTTCCTGCCCCCTTTAGGCATGTTGTCGCCTTTGCCCCCTCCAGGCATGTTGTCGCTCCTGCCCCCTTCAGGTATGTTGTTGCTCCTGCCCCTTCAGGCATGTTGTCGCCCCTGCCTCCTTCTGGCATGTTGTCGCTCCTGCCCCCTTCAGGTATGTTGTTGCTCCTGCCCCCTTCAGGCATGTTGTCGCCCCTGCCCCCTTCAGGCATGTTGTCGCCCCTACCCCCTTCAGGCATGTTGTCGCTCCTGCCCCCTTCAGGTATGTTGTTGCTCCTGCCCCCTTCAGGCATGTTGTCGCTCCTGCCCCCTTCAGGTATGTTGTTGCTCCTGCCTCCTTCAGGCATGTTGTCGCTTCTGCCTCCTTCAGGCATGTTGTCGCTCCGGCTAGCTGCCCCCTTCATGCATGTTGTCGTCTCAGCCCCCTTCAGGCATGTTGTCGCTCCTGCCCCCTTCAGGCATGTTGTCGCTCCTGCCCCCTTAAGGCATGTGTTCGCCCCTGCCACCTTCAGGCATATTGTCGCACCTGCCCTCTTCAAGCATGTTGTCGTCCCAGCCCCCTTCAGGCATGTTGTCGCTCCTGCTCCCTTCAGGCATGTTGTCGCTCCTGTCCCCTTAAGATATGTGTTCGCCCCTGCCACCTTCAGGCATATTGTCGCCCCTGCCCTCTTCAAGCATGTTGTCGTCCCAGCCCCCTTCAGACATGTTGTCGCTCCTGGCCCCTTCAGGCATGTTGTCGCCACTGCCCCCTTGAAGCATGGTGTCGACCCTGCCTCCTGCAAGCATGTTGTCGCCCCTGCCACCTTCAAGCATGTTGTCGCCCCTGCCCCCTTCAGGCATGTTGTCGCCCTTGCCCCCTTCAGGCATGATGTCGCTCCTGCCCTCTTCAGGCATGTTGTTGCCCTTGCCCCCTTCAAGCATGTTGTCGTCCCAGCCGCCTTCAGGCATGTTGTCGCTCCTGTCCTCTTCAGGCATGTTGTTGTCCCTGCCCCCTTCAAGCATGTTGTCGTCCCAGCCGCCTTCAGGCATGTTGTCGCTCCAGCCCCCTTCAGGCATGTTGTCGCTCCTGCCCCCTTTTGGCATGTGGTCCCCCCTGCCACCTTCAAGCATGTTGTCGACCCTGCCCCCTTCAGGCATATTGTCGCCCCTGCCCTCTTCAAGCATCTTGTCGTCCCAGCCCCCTTCAGACATGTTGTCGCTCCTGGCCCCTTCAGGCATGTTGTCGCTACTGCCCCCTTAAGGCATGTTTTCGCTACTGCCCCCTTTAGGCAAGTTGTCGCCCCTGCCCCCTTCAAGCATGCCGTCGCCCCTGCCCCCTTCAAGCATGTTGTCGCTCCTGCCCCCTTCAAGCATGTTGTCGTCCCAGCCGCCTTCAGGCATGTTGTCGCTCCTGCCCCCTTCAGGCTTGTTGTCGCTCCTGCCCCCTTTTGGCATGTTGTCGCTCCTGGCCCCTTCAGGCATGTTGTCGCTACTGCCCCCTTAAGGCATGTTGTCGCCCCTGCCACCTTTAGGCAAGTTATCGCCCCTGCCCCCTTCAGGCATGTTGCCATCCCAGCCCACTTCAGACATGTTGTCGCTCCTGGCCCCTTCAGGCATGTTGTCGCTACTGCCCCCTTAAGGCATGTTGTCGCTACTGCCCCCTTCAGGCATGTGGTCGCCCCTGCCACCTTTAGGCAAGTTGTCGCCCCTGCCCCCTTCAAGCATGTCGTCGCCCCTGCCCCCTTCAAGCATGTTGTCGTCCCTGCCACCTTCAAGCATGTTGTCGTCCCTGCCCCTTTCAGGCATGTTGTCGCTCCTGCTCTCTTCAGGCATGTTGTCGCTCCGGCTCTCTTCAGGCATGTAGTCGCCCCTGTCCCCTTCAGGCATGTTGTCATCCCAGCCCCCTTCAGGCATGTTGTCGCCCCTGCCCACTTCAGTCATGTTATCGACCCTGCCCTCTTCAGGCATGTTGTCGCTCCTACTCTCTTCAGGCATGTTGTCGCTTTTGCTCTCTTCAGGCATGTTGTCGCCTCTGCCCTTTTCAGGCATGTTGTCATCCCAGCCCCCTTCAGGCATGTTGTCGCCGATGCCCTCTTCAGGCATGTTGTCGCTCCTGCCCTCTTCAGGCATGTAGTCGCTCCTGCCCCTCTTCAGGCATGTTGTCGCTCCTGCGCTCTTCAGGCATGTTGTCGTCCCTGCCCCCTTCAGGCATGTAGTCGCTCCTGCCCCTCTTCAGGCATGTTGTCGCTCCTGCCCTCTTCAGGCATGTTGTCGCTCCTTCCCACTTCAGGCATGTTGTCGCTCCTGCTCTCTTCAGGCATGTTGTCGCTTTTGCTCTCTTCAGGCATGTGGTCGCCTCTGCCCTTTTCAGTCATGTTGTCGTCCCAGCCACCTTCAGGCATGTTGTCGCCCCTGCCCCCTTCAGGGATGTTGTCGACCCTGCCCTCTTCAGGCATGTTGTCGCTCCTGCCCCCTTCAGGCATGTAGTCGCTCCTGCCCTCTTCAGGCATGTTGTCGCTCCTGCCCTCTTCAGTCATGTTGTCACTCCTGCCCCCTTGAAGCATGTTGAAGCTCCTGCCCCCTTCAGGCATGTTGTCGCTCCTGCCCCCTTCAGGCATGTTGTCGCCCCTGCCCAATTCAGGCATGTTGTCGCTTCTGCCTCCTTCAGGCATGTTGTCGCTCCGGCTAGCTGCCCCCTTCAAGCATGTTGTCGTCCCAGCCCCCTTCAGGCATGTTGTCGTCCCAGCCCTCTTCTGGCATGTTGTCGCTCCTGCCCGCTTCAGGCATGTTGTCGCCCTGCAACCCGTTTCCACACAAGACAGCACATATATGACTTAATGCTTAAAGTCAATATGTTGAATGTGATTTAATACATATGTGATATATTCCCAGTTACCTTTTTTACCAAGGCCCAAACTCTTTCTCACGTACCAATTTACGTCTCACAGTACCCGTCCATCAACGTAGATAGCAGAATAGTCGTGATTGGTTCAATTATAATGAAAATTGTAGTTTTCAGGTCCCACATGGGTTGTGAAATTTACCTACTATTGTCCATGCTCTTAGAATATTACAGATCAGCTATATTCTATTGAAGGCTCGTAGTTTTGTTGTGAGAAATATTAGTTGTTCTTAGTAAATTATAATAAGCACTATAAATTATTACATAGAATAACAGTGCTTCACCAATCAATATTTTATACCATAGTTTGTGCTTTAAAAATCTTTAAAGGATGTTTTGTAGGAATGCTAACAGAAAACGATGTTACGTTGGAATGTTTATGGGGTAAACTACTGCAATTAGCATGGTATGGTGTCTACCAAATACCAAATATTGGATGCGTATAGGGTCCAATACCACCTGTTAGGTGGGTAAGGGGTCCAATACCACCCGCAGGATGGGTATAGGGGTCACATCCACCCACAGGATGGATATGGGGATCACTTCCACCCACAGGAAGGGTATGGGGTCCAATACCATCCACTGGATGTGTATGGCGTCCACTACCACCCACAGGATGGGTATGGGGCTCCAACCACCCACAGAATAAGTATGGGGTCCAATAACACCCACTGGATGTGTATGGCGTCCATTGCCGCCCACAGGATGAGTATAGGGTCCAGTATAGCCAACAGGATTAGTTTATAGGGTCCACTGCCGCCCACAGGGTCGGTAGGGGGTCCAATACCGCCCACAGGGTTGGTAGGGGGGTCCAATACCGCCCACAGGGTCGGTATGGGGTCCACTGCCACCCACATGGTCGGTATTGGGTCCACTGCCACCCACAGGGTCGGTATGGGGTCCACTGCCACCCACATGGTCGGTATGGGGTCCACTACCGCCCACAGGGTCGGTAGGGGTCCACTGCCGCCCACAGGGTCGGTAGGGGGTCCACTGCCGCCCACAGGGTCGGTAGGGGGTCCACTGCCGCCCACAGGGTCGGTAGGGATCCACTACCGCCCACAGGGTCGGTAGGGCGTCTACTACCTCCCACAGGGTCGGTAGGGATCCACTACCGCCCACAGGGTCGGTAGGGGTCCACTACCGCCCACAGGGTCGGTAGGGATCCACTGCCGCCCACAGGGTCGGTAGGGGGTCCACTGCCGCCCACAGGGTCGGTAGGGATCCACTACCGCCCACAGGGTCGGTAGGGGTCCACTGCCGCCCACAGGGTGTGTAGGGGGTCAACTGCCGCCCACAGGGTCGGTAGGGATCCACTACCGCCCACAGGGTCGGTAGGGGGTCCACTGCCGCCCACAGGGTCGGTAGGGGGTCCACTGCTGCCCACAGGGTCGGTAGGGATCCACTGCCGCCCACAGGGTCGGTTGGGGTCCACTACCGCCCACAGGGTTGGTAGGGGGTCCACTGCCGCCCACAGGGTCGGTAGGGGGTCCACTACCGCCCACAGGGTGGGTAGGGGTCCACTGCCGCCCACAGGGTCGGTAGGGGGTCCACTACCGCCCACAGGGTTGGTAGGGGGTCCACTGCCGCCCACAGGGTCGGTAGGGGTCCACTACCGCCCACAGGGTCGGTAGGGGTCCACTGCCGCCCACAGGGTCGGTAGGGGGTCCACTACCGCCCACAGGGTCGGTAGGGGTCCCGTACTGCCGCCCACAGGGTCGGTAGGGGGTCAACTGCCGCCCACAGGGTCGGTAGGGATCCACTGCCGCCCACAGGGTCGGTAGGGACCCACTACCGCCCACAGGGTTGGTAGGGGGTCAACTGCCGCCCACAGGGTCGGTAGGGATCCACTACCGCCCACAGGGTTGGTAGGGGGTCAACTGCCGCCCACAGGGTCGGTAGGGATCCACTACCGCGCACAGGGTCGGTAGGGGTCCACTGCCGCCCAAAGGGTCGGTAGGGGGTCCACTGCCGCCCACAGGGTCGGTAGGGAGCCACTACCGCCCACAGGGTTGGTAGGGGGTCAACTGCCGCCCACAGGGTCGGTAGGGGTCCACTACCGCCCACAGGGTCGGTAGGGGGTCAACTGCCGCCCACAGGGATGGTAGGGGGTCAACTGCCGCCCACAGGGTCGGTAGGGCGTCCACTACCTCCCACAGGGTCGGTAGGGATCCACTACCGCCCACAGGGTCGGTAGGGGGTCCACTACCGCCCACAGGGTCGGTAGGGGGTCCACTACCGCCCACAGGGTCGGCAGGGGGTCCACTACCGCCCACAGGGTCGGTAGGGGGTCCACTACCGCCCACAGGGTCGGTAGGGGGTCCACTACCGCCCACAGGGTCGGTAGGGATCCACTACCGCCCACAGGGTCGGTAGGGATCCACTACCGCCCACAGGGTCGGCAGGGTGTCCACTACCGCCCACAGGGTCGGTAGGGGGTCCACTACCGCCCACAGAGTCGGTAGGGGGTCCACTACCGCCCACAGGGTCGGTAGGGAGTCCACTGCCGCCCACAGGGTCGGTAGGGGGTCCACTGCCGCCCACAGGGTCGGTAGGTGGTCCACTGCCGCCCACAGGGTCGGTAGGGATCCACTACCGCCCACAGGGTCGGTAGGGATCCACTACCGCCCACAGGGTCGGCAGGGTGTCCACTACCGCCCACAGGGTCGGTAGGGGGTCCACTACCGCCCACAGGGTCAGTAGGGGGTCCACTACCGCCCACAGGGTTGGTAGGGGGCCAACTGCCGCCCACAGGGTCGGTAGGGGTCCACTACCGCCCACAGGGTCGGTAGGGGGTCAACTGCCGCCCACAGGGTTGGTAGGGGGTCAACTGCCGCCCACAGGGTCGGTAGGGCGTCCACTACCTCCCACAGGGTCGGTAGGGATCCACTACCGCCCACAGGGTCGGTAGGGGGTCCACTACCGCCCACAGGGTCGTTAGGGGGTCCACTACCGCCCACAGTGTCGGCAGGGGGTCCACTGCCGCCCACAGGGTCGGCAGGGGGTCCACTACCGCCCACAGGGTCGGTAGGGGGTCCACTACCGCCCACAGGGTCGGTAGGGGGTCCACTACCGCCCACAGGGTCGGTAGGGATCCACTACCGCCCACAGGGTCGGTAGGGATCCACTACCGCCCACAGGGTCGGCAGGGTGTCCACTACCACCCACAGGGTCGGTAGGGGGTCCACTACCGCCCACAGAGTCGGTAGGGGGTCCACTACCGCCCACAGGGTCGGTAGGGGGTCCACTGCCGCCCACAGGGTCGGTAGGGGGTCCACTGCCGCCCACAGGGTCGGCAGGGGGTCCACTACCGCCCACAGGGTCGGTAGGGGGTCCACTACCGCCCACAGGGTCGGTAGGGGGTCCACTACCGCCCACAGGGTCGGTAAGGGGTTCACTGCCACGCACAGGGTCGGTAGGGGGTCCACTGCCGCCCACAGGGTCGGTAGGGATCCACTACCGCCCACAGGGTCGGTAGGGATCCACTACCGCCCACAGGGTCGGTAGGGGGTCCACTACCGCCCACAGGGTCGGTAGGGGGTCCACTACCGCCCACAGGGTCGGTAGGGGGTCCACTGCCGCCCACAGGGTCGGTAGGGGGTCCACTGCCGCCCACAGGGTCGGTAGGTGGTCCACTGCCGCCCACAGGGTCGGTAGGGATCCACTACCGCCCACAGGGTCGGTAGGGATCCACTACCGCCCACAGGGTCGGCAGGGTGTCCACTACCGCCCACAGGGTCGGTAGGGGGTCCACTACCGCCCACAGGGTCAGTAGGGGGTCCACTACCGCCCACAGGGTTGGTAGGGGGCCAACTGCCGCCCACAGGGTCGGTAGGGGTCCACTACCGCCCACAGGGTCGGTAGGGGGTCAACTGCCGCCCACAGGGTTGGTAGGGGGTCAACTGCCGCCCACAGTTTCGGTAGGGCGTCCACTACCTCCCACAGGGTCGGTAGGGATCCACTACCGCCCACAGGGTCGGTAGGGGGTCCACTACCGCCCACAGGGTCGTTAGGGGGTCCACTACCGCCCACAGGGTCGGCAGGGGGTCCACTGCCGCCCACAGGGTCGGCAGGGGGTCCACTACCGCCCACAGGGTCGGTAGGGGGTCCACTACCGCCCACAGGGTCGGTAGGGGGTCCACTACCGCCCACAGGGTCGGTAGGGATCCACTACCGCCCACAGGGTCGGTAGGGATCCACTACCGCCCACAGGGTCGGCAGGGTGTCCATTACCACCCACAGGGTCGGTAGGGGGTCCACTACCGCCCACAGAGTCGGTAGGGGGTCCACTACCGCCCACAGGGTCGGTAGGGGGTCCACTGCCGCCCACAGGGTCGGTAGGGGGTCCACTGCCGCCCACAGGGTCGGCAGGGGGTCCACTACCGCCCACAGGGTCGGTAGGGGGTCCACTACCGCCCACAGGGTCGGTAGGGGGTCCACTACCGCCCACAGGGTCGGTAGGGGGTTCACTGCCGCGCACAGGGTCGGTAGGGGGTCCACTGCCGCCCACAGGGTCGGTAGGGATCCACTACCGCCCACAGGGTCGGTAGGGATCCACTACCGCCCACAGGGTCGGTAGGGGGTCCACTACCGCCCACAGGGTCGGTAGGGGGTCCACTACCGCCCACAGGGTCGGTAGGGGGTCCACTACCGCCCACAGGGTCGGCAGGGTGTCCACTACCGCCCACA